AGGCCATTCATTGGAGCTTAAAGTTGTCATTAAACAATTCGTGCAACTGGTTGTGATTATTTTAATTATATTCTTACATTCTCTAACAAAATTTAATGTTTGGATAGATATTGTACGGATTTCCATGATTGAAGTTAAAATCTGTTACCAAATAAAGCTTTGGTTTGAAGATCAAGGGGTTTACTCTTTATTTTAGAAACGCTAATACTGTATTACTGCAAAGAAACACATTTTCAACAATTTATGATGATTTATGATGCATACTTCACCTGATACTGCCTCTGATGCATAGATAACCTTCACCGATATAATTATTATATATATAATAAGACGAAATTTTCGGAGTTTTCGTTTGCGGGCACAGAGTAGGCTCTACTGAGGTATAATTTTCAATATTAATGTAAACAGAATATTAACATAAATTTGTCGGGCGTGACTAACATCTTAATCTCTAACTGCCACGAGTGAAGAACTTCCAAATGCTTATCTATAATTTAAATATCCTATTATATGTTGATTAAAGAGGAAATTATCTCGTTGCTCCTTCTAAGGGGAACGGTTCGTGACACTGATATTATTATCAAAGTATCAGTGACTAGTGACTTTCTACAGCGCGTGCGGCGTATCTTATTACATCGGGGCTCCACTAGTTCTAACATGGATTTAAATTAATAGTATTATGAGCGGGTTTGCCGATTATGAGGACCCAAAAATCTTCAATTGTTTTTATATAATAAAATAACATCCAAATAGATGTAATATAAAATGAGATAATCATACCTAGTACGAATTAATTTAAGGGCCTTTTCTATTTGTTCTAGAATGAAAATTCGAAAAATTTCGAATTGTTCTTTTTAATTTTCTTACCTAAAACCATAGCCATAATCTGTGCTTCAGAGGTAATGTCAGGTTCTATCTCCGTTGCACCATACTCGTAACTTATTGAATAATGCATTTCTTTGTACTTATAGCGTTTCGAAAGTGGTCGTTTCGTTTTCGGAGAAATAGAATACGCATTCAGGTGGCATGTTAATTCGTACGAGTAGTACATCATATTTATAAGGGTTCGGTCGCAGACAAAACATGAATACAATAAATATTCTCCAAGGAAATTACAAAATTGTCGCTACAATTCACCATTTTCCATTACTTAATTCAATTATTCCTCTTTTTAAAGGGTAAATAGTAATAAATTAATAATAGCTTTGACATGTATTCCGCCATCCTCTGCTATCTAATTGTTGGGCGTAATGAGATAGATAGGGACAGCCTTTTTTCTTTATATCCAGCCTCAAATCTATCTTATAAGATAATTGTTATTCGGACACAAGATGCGATACCCGACATTTCTTTATTTTTTATATTATTCGGTACACAAACACATGTACAATTACATCAATAAATAAGTCTTGACCTCTTTCGACTATTTCCATTTCCTTTGGGATTTTTTCAGAGGTACTCTTGCCCTTTTAAATTTTTAGACAACACATACTAGCTATAGAGTACCGAGCCGTAAGGTATGATCTTTACAAAGTTACTATCGATAACGAAATCCTATTTAATTTTAAGTCTTAATACAATGATGTTTGAAATGAGAATCAATTGTGGAATTTTGTAATTTTGTAACGAACTGATGTGTTGCTGTAAGTACAATAAAATCAAGAAGTGAGTCGAGTTTCTTGCGTCTAGCATTACCATGAACTGTGCTCAATTGTTTGTTGTTTTTTTTTGTTTTAACTGGTTTATGTATAAAACTAGTTGTTTTCTCGCGACTTTCATCGTGTAAATTATGCCTGTATAATGTAACTACCCGCAGGTAAAAGAATTTTTGAAATAGGTCCAGTAGTTCCGGAGCCTATTTGATGCGAACAAACAAACTAATAAATCTTTCATCCGATCAGGTATTATATACAATACCGGAATTACCGTTCTGTGTAACATTTTTGCTCTTAGAGGTCCCCCGACGGCATTTAGAATTTTGTTTAGCTATAATACAACTTGTTTATTTTAAGTTCGATTTTGTCCGGCCTTTTTTTTTAAATTTCCAGCTATTATTCTTATTTTTTTAACTGTATTATATAATTATTATTATGAAATAATAAAAAAATGTAGATTTCGGCGCCCCCATTGAAAAGGAGGATGTATAAAGCTTTAAGCGAGTTTAAATTTATGTTTTACTGCTTTGTTTTTGCTAACGTCTTTTTCAAATCGGTTCCAATAATTGTTACAGGGTTATCTTCATATATGGCAGAAGGAGTCAACTTTCTCGGAGGAAGAATTATCAGAACTATTCAATAACATCGAAGCCATCTATACTTTTAATAGGTAAGTAAAATTAGCCCATATTTTGTAATACTATCTAATAAAATATTATCAAACATAAAATACCCTGATTCTTTAGTAGTATCAAAGTTTTTTCAAATTACCTTTAACTTTATTTATCAGTACAGTATTTATTACATCAGTATTAATAAATATATATAAAATAGTGACAATATGTCTTGCCTATCTTGCCAATTTTACTAATGTTGCTCTTCTATTTCTTTAAATAAAACGTATTCATTTTTGTTCATCATCTACTTTGTCATTATAAGTAGTAATAACTCTATATTAATCTATCTAATTCTTCGCTTCGAATACACGCAACATTGGTAAAAATTTTGATTAGCGATCAAAATACTGGCCAAAATAAAGGTATAAAATTCAGCTCAATAAAGAAAACAGCTACAAATGAAAAATACGAATAAAAAAGAAAACTTAGTCGTCAAGTTCCATTCAACAATGAAGAAACTCAGCAACAATCCATCCCTCAACGGAAGGGTGTTAGAATAATAGGCGAGGGACTGTCAAACGGCAAGGGTGGGGCTTTGGGGTTCCTTAAAAAACAGTGGCATATCGTAAAAAACAGAACCGTTTTGGTTAAATATGCAAAAGTCATATAAATCATTTCGTGAGAAGAATTTTTTTAATTCGCTTATGATCTTGCTGCTTACTCATGCGATAAATAAGGTTGAAGTGGTTTCGAAGGGAGTAAATGGTTTAATTTCGGTTATTTATATGGATATTTATGTTTTTGATAGATAACAGTCTATTCCGCATGTTTTTGAAACTATAAATAGGCCGGTCGCTGAGTTGTTGTTATATCTGCAGCCTGGACATCGAAGCTTAAACAACGTAGTAAACGAATTTATTACCTTGCCGGTTCTTCTGAGTAGTAGGTATTCCACCATAGATTTACGAATCAATAGAATGCTTTTCGACTTTCACAAAAGCATGTTAAACTGTCGCCTGAAATTAACATATGGAACTAGAATTTTATTTTAATGAGTAGAGTGATACTTCTGTTGAAGATATTCTTAACATTAAAACTAAAGTTTTATTATTGAGATTACGTAGCAATAACAAGATCAACATGAAGAACAAAATACAAATAGAAGAAATCCGAATGAATTAATTTAATTAGAAATTAAGTAAACTTGACAGTTATTAATCAGATCTTAGTCTTGGAACTTTAAATGTTAGCTTTATAACGCTTAGCAATTGCAGTAGTGGTAGTGGGATGATGCTATACGTATAGATAGAGATCCTCTTCTAGCTATTGCACAGCAATTACTTGGTGAAAGCCCTGTCCTTCATATTTCTTGGTACAGTATGTGTGGCTATAGCATAATATTTTCTTATTATATTTGATCAACTTTGCATTCCCAATTTTTCATTAAGAATTATCTTTTTTTCTTATTAATTGTCCTCTCCGGAACCCAAAAACATTTAACTGTCTAATACATGTTGATTTTTTATGGTAGCTAATGTCTACAGTCCGGTATATAATGTGGGTATGTTATCGTCCACATTGTACAACTGACAAATAGTTTATAGTTCCCCTCGATAGTGGGGTAAGATCGGTAGCAAGATTTTACAGTATCGAGTTTCATAAGATTTATGCGCTTCTAGTTCTTGGTAGGAGATCCTGTCTACTTAATATTTTTTGTTTGGATACAAGGTGAATCCAAACTTGTCCTTAAAAATGTAAGCAATTTTTTTTTCAATTCATTGATCTTTTATGATTAAAAATTTATGACCATAACTATATGTTATATTGAAAGGTTTGGGTTTTATTTGTATGTACATTTTTACTATTAGATACAATGTTCAATTTCGCTCTTTAAGTTAATATTGTTTTAGGCAACGAAATGAAACCCTATTGGTTGTTACGTGTAATACAAGTGAAAGAATTAAATGAACAATTTACTCGAACGCAAAAAAATTAAGTCTTAAAATCTTATACTTAAGTATTAAACACATGAAATATTTTACATTAGACGTATGTTTGGATGCCACGGATTTCTCCCAGTTAATTAATAACAGTGTTGCAATTAATCGCAAATAGTTACGAACTAATTATCTCTATAATGTAAGAGAGAAGTTATTTTATTTGAATTTTATTATAGCCAGAGAATTTATTTAGATAGCATACAGATAATAACAAATGTCTGCATTTTTATAATTTCATTATATTTAGACACCTATTTTGATTGTAAATGCTCACTTCATCCTTTGTTTCTAGAAGCGAATTTGCATAGTTGAATAGAATAAATTGTCAGACACTCCATTGATTTCAAATTTATATTTAACTCAAGCTTCCAAGAACATTAACCACAGATTTATATCTCATTACATGCCTTGTTTGTCTCAATAGTACGGTGTTAAATATCTTAAACCTATATACGACCTCGCTGCAGTGTAAAATGTTGCCAATTTATTGCGTTGCTTATGAAACCTCAATCAGAGTACCGCAAAGAGCTATATTAGGCCCAGAACTGTTTAAAAGATTACATTACAGGATGTTTATAGCATGTTGTAACACATTCAGTGTTCATTTATAAACTCAATACGCGTAAAAGCAATTAAGTTTTACGGCTTAATTGAAATGGCGGTAGAAAAAACACAAACTTTTATTATGACAGTGAATGCCATTCCTTGTATGAATCGAGTTCGTAAAAATGACGAGGTGAAATGAAAAATGGCCGACAAATCGTTAAGCCTCGTGTACAGTCACGTTTTCGCTTGACTTTTTGTGGACGAAGTCGTAAAATATAAATAACAAAAACAATAGCGTTTAGTTCTTCAAGAATCGGCAGTAACCACTTTAACAGGATTATAAAATGCCTTGGAATTTCTGAAATCTTTAGAAAACGCTGGTTTCCTACTAAACGTGTAACTAATAATATACACATTATATTGATGAATGTTACATTGTTGTAGTTCTAAATTGAATTTTGCTTTTTAAAATTACAGTATATGTGAAAGACAGAACATAACTAATTAATAATATGGATTATAAGTGTATGCACAAAAATATTGTAACCACACTTGAAGCAAATTGGTGGACTATTTAAATTAACAGTATTTTATAAAGATCTAATAATTCTTATAAATTATCCGAATGTGCAGTGATTTTATTATAATCGATTCTGATAGTTCCAATCCGGTAAGGAGTAAAACTTTTATGCATGGAGATATTTATTTTAGATTTTTTCTTTGTTTTTATTTAAAATAAATATGATGATTTTTTGTCGATCGTAGAACACTTGACACTCACGCCGATTTAGATTCCCGTAATCCAGTTAAGTACTGGTATGTAATGTTTCTTATTTATTTTTTATTATTATTACAGATCTTTATGTGAAGAGTTGAATACCTGTCGCTTGGATGCTACGTGCATCGCTCGCTGTTTTGTAAACAACACCACCGGATTCTCTGTTTACACCTCTTACTGTACCGGTTATCCTGTTACCATGGAACGACTGGCTGCTTTGGCGTCTAAACCACAAAGTGCTAGAGAGTTCAGAGAGAGGCAACTAGCTTTAGGACACCCATTGCCTCTAGCTTCATATTTGCTGAAGCCCGTGCAAAGGATACTAAAGTATCACCTGTTGCTACAGGTGAGCATGGAAACAGTTATGATGTTGAAATGTAATGAAGGAAGATGCCTTTGAAATTTATGGAATTAAACGGAGTAATCCTATCGGATTTGACCTCATTTAATTTGCAAATTCTTAGAAAAACTTTCATTAGGTTCGGTGCAAATTTAACGAAAGATCCGACTAGCGTCCCATAAATATATTTATAGTAAGCGGTGAATCTGATATGATGGGTATTTTATAGGGGAAAGATTTGATTATTTGAATTACCTTTAATCATATGCTTTATTATAATATTATTACGATTACTTTCAGAACGTGGTGAAACAGTGCGCGTCTAGTGAAACTGAGTACGCTCTACTCAAGATGACGGGTATCGCGCAGCATATCGATGATATGAAGAGACGACACGAACATGCGGTTAGAGTGCAGGTGCGTAGTGTTGTTGCAATAGCGACAGATTTCTTATCGATGATCTATATGCAACTCGTTCGAGTTAAAATGATATCTAGCTAGAAAGAAGTTTCTGTAAAGTACTACGTGCAAAAAAGTTGCGGGCGATAGCGTGCTTGTGCGGACCGCGGTTGGGTGGTAAGCGCGACTGCTAATTAGTGTACAATTAGTGGATTATGACAATGAATGTTCAGAAAATATCTAATTATAAACGCAACACGTTTGTCTAAGACAAATTGATAAATTATGTTTTATACATTTTCTAAACTTTAATAGTTTTATGTAATATTACGTTATTGTATTTATTTATAGGAGTTTTAAGATTTTTTTGCTTAACTGGGTAGACATATTTTTAACCGACTTTAAAATCGTAAAGGAGGAGATTCTATGTTCGATCGTGATATATTTAGTTTTTATGTATATTCACCGATTTTGCCGCGAATTATTACATAGCTGTATAATATCTCATATAATTTTTATCGAAATCAAATTAGTAGTTTTTTATTATATTTGATAAATTTTGCATTGACAATGCTATACTGATGAATATTTAAATGAAAAATGCTCAAAAAATCCATCAAACTCAGGTACCTTGCGTTGGGATACTATCCTGAAACAGTAGTTTTGTTTTTATAACAAAACATAATAATAATTTTACCAAATACCACCAAATAACACAGACGATTAGATAAACGGTACTCTTTCTTGAAAAAAAAAATAAACTTATTTAATAATTAGATTTAACCTGGGTAGAATATAGTTTATGCGAAAAAGCGTGATACAATTTTGAACATTTTCAATATTACTAATGTTTCGATTTTTCAGTAGTTTGCAGTAAAGTTATAATTTTCAATTAAAATATCGCGATCTTTTATTAAACTTAAATTGAAAATAGGTATATCAAACTCGTTTGATTGGGGAGGCCTATGTCCAGCAGTGGACGAATATGGGCTGATGATGATGATGATGATGATATCAAACTCACATTGGAAATCACATACTATTTTTTCAATAAATGCACTTTACAGTAGATTTCGGTATCCGAAAGTGGCATAGTTAGGTAAAAATTTAATTAAGCAATGACACCAAACATTAACTTTAGTAGGTACCTTTATTTAAGTTAATGTATGGTGTCATTGGTGAAATAATTTAAACAGCTCTATTGCAACGAAGCAAAAAAAAAAAAATGTTGAGTAAATTTTGAACTCAATCTTTATTATAATTTTTCCTCTATTTCAGACATATCACTATCAATGTCATCTTTACTTAACAAAAATCTAATGTATGAATGATAAAATATAATGTTGTGACAAATAATAATAGCGCAAAAACGCGTATAAAACGGTAACTGTTATGCTGTCGCTACAGAAAGGCGATGGCGGAATGTTGCGCGGGGAAGCGCGGGGAATATGTGAACTCGAACGATTAGTAAATGTCCATATCGACGTAATTAAAACTACCGATTATGTAAATTCTATCGATGTAGATAACGCGACACATGTATATGTATATAATATTTTTCTAATAAACGTGTTTGAGAAAAATGAGGGAAAGTACTAATCAAGTGTAAACAAATCAAAATCTGTTTTCAATTCTTTTTCAGGAAATCCAGTCACTTTTGTATGGATGGAATGGTCCAGACTTGACTACATACGGGGAATTATGTGCCGAAGGAACATTTAGGTACTTCTAAAATAATTAAATGAAAAGTTTTGACATAGAATACTTACTAAAAATAAAACTTTTCTGTTCATCATCTTACAATATTTTTAAGGTTTAAGATACTAAGTTATCTTGAGGAATTTATTTTATAGAAAATAATTTTGATAATTAAATTTTGGGCTTCAAATCGAACCTATGAGTGCGATACGATTTGAATCTTTCCATGAACAATGCCCCATTACTGAGAATAATAATAGGCTGGTATTGATGGTATCGATATATAGGGACGGTGATAATTTTTTTTCTCAGTCTGTCGGATAGATTATTGGAGAATACGTGTTTAACCCCGTATTTTTTCGTAATTAGCAAATTACGGCTATATATTGAGTTGAAATTTCGTATGACGTTACACCTTTGTACACGTTGTGACTCTTATTATGTAAAAAAAATATATAAATTGAAACAAAAAAAAGTTTTTCTATTATGGATTAAATAGTTTTTTTTTTTACCCGGGCCCATCCCTGTTAATAGTAATTTGCGAAGATTTATTTTGCATATTATTCTTTCTATATCATGGCCTAATTTTGTCTCGTTTCCTCTTCACTTGTATTAAAACTTTTATTATTCTGTTCACTCTTATTTTTCAACTAATTCTTGATATGGTACTGTTATGTTACAGAGTTCTCGGCGCTAAAGGCATGCGACACGTGTTTCTTTTCGATAAAATGCTTCTCGTCACTAAAAATCGAGAAGACGGCATACTGGCTTACAAATCCCATATAATGGTAAGTAAATGTCGAAATGAATGTAGTAAATAGACGAAGAAGATATTGGAGCCAATTATAAATTGATTTTGTTTAATGTTATTACGTAATCACTTATACTACTTTATATATTATAATAATTTACTTTTGGTATATTAGTTCTTTCATCAATATCATCATATTAAGCGGTTTTCTGTCCAACAAATGTATAATATTTGATATTACAATAAATACAGACATTCACATAATGTTTGTGTAATATATTTATTCTCTGTGGTAAATGTAATGTAATATTCTCTGTGGTAACACCACCGCCGCCATATGTATATATTTTTGCAAGTGATTATTTAAGTTAGTGATTCAATGTGAAATTCAATTATCGGTTATTCAGTAAATAAAAAACTATGTCAATTGAACAAGATATTTAGTTCATATGGAAATACAACAGTGTTTGAATTTTGAATTTCGATTCGTTCAACTTACTTGAACATTTTAAGAATGTTACCTCACTAGTAAGTTTAGAAATAAGAAGTTGAATTGAATTGCAATTTCAAATTGCAGTCGGTAGACCTCTTAGAACTAATGATCCACAGAACGGTCCCCAGACTGCAATGAGGATTTTGCCTAGCCAAGTCATAATACAACTGGTTTCTTTTATTTTTAGTTCGATTTTGGGCAGTCATGTTTTTAATTCTTAAATTATTTATTCCTATTTTAAATGAAAAATTCTAAAAATCCACTTTGCCCTTGGTACTCTGACTTGTTAATTTTTCGCTGCTACAGAGCGTATTTTCATCGATGTTCAAGAAATTCACCCAAACGGTTAAAAGAAATATTTTAAACTTTAAATGACACGGGACGATGTAAAGTTTCTAATTATAACTTATACATATATCCATTGAGTATTTTAAAAGTTACATTTATCTGGCCAGTCGTGTAAAAATTTACTCTATAATATACAGAATTCGGTTCATTTTACAGTGCAACAACATGATGCTAGTGGAGTCTATAGCTGGGGCTCCACTCGCGTTCCACGTGATACCGTGGGACGCGCCGCGGTCACAGCTCACGCTGCAGGCGAGGTCGCTGCGGCACAAGCGAGAGTGGACCTTGTTACTTAAGCGGGTCAGTACATTTTACATTGCATTAATAAAAATAAAATTAAAAATTTGATTTTCTACGCAACAATATTTATGGCAAGATTCCGTATAATAATTATAATAACTGAAGTATCAGAAATAAGGCTTTTTTGTTAATTTTTAAACGATTTATTTCCGAAGACCGATTTCTAGATTAATACTATGTTGATTGTAATGGGCTTTGACAATGATATTTAAAAAATCGTATTTATCAATGGTGTTGAAACATTGCGACTGGACTAAGTAACTCAAGGTCCAATAACTTTTCTGCTTAACGCAAAACGGATAAATTCTTCGATTAAATGTTAATATTTAATTATAATTCTTAGTTTTTACAAAGTATATTGATTAAAAACACGAAGTAACAAAGATTTTTTTTATTTACAGGTAATATTGGAAAATTATAACGCTGTCATACCTTCTCACGCTCGTCAGTTAGTCATGGAACTAGGACAAAATAAAACAGATGGTGAGTAGGCTTCTGAATAAAGTATAAGTAACAAGAGTTTCTCATAAATTGCTCTTCGAAAAAATTTGCTAGCAATGTTCAACTTCTTTCAAAATTGGAAGCTTTTTATATTACAATTTTTTTTTAAATAAACGCAATGCGTAAATCAACTGCGAGATTTCAGCTGACGAGATTAGGACACCAATATATTATTACCTTTATTTCATTTTTATAGAGTAAAAATAACATTTCACTTTCGAACGCATTTGGTTCTTGAGTTTAATTTCAAGACTAAATGTTTCTATTAGTTATAAATTGTAATTGATAAACATAACAGGGAAGATGGGAACTAATTTTGCAAAAATATTAATTGCAGATGACATGCTTGCAGAGAAATCTCACAACTTGATAACTCAAGCGTCAATGAGGAAGCAACTGTCAGCCCCGGAATACTTGGAAAAGAGAAAAATGGACAGAGAGAGAAGGAAATCATTCGAAAACGGCATAAGGGGTCGTCTCAAGAAAGTCAACAGGAAATACACAGTACCCAATTCTAGACCTGAATTGAGACAAGAATGCGATTGCGTTCAGGTGTCTGTAGATAAAGGCATTGATTATACTTGCGACAATTGCTATGTCGATCTGTGTTCGGATTGTGAAACTGTATTGGCCAAAACAAAGCGAAAAGATGGAAAATGCAGCTGTGAAGTTGGGGACATAGTTGGCGACAAATGTCCAGAATGTGATAAATCATTACATTTTATTGATTCTGGGAGTGCTGAGGGATTGGAAAGGAAACATTCAGATTGTAAATGTTCTGACTTTAAGTCATCGCAAGAGAGCTTCAACAAAGAGTTTTCTGGATCTCTCAACAAAACTAGAGGTTATCATTCCTCTGATAACATCGTTGGGTATTCAGAAAGTAGTAAAAGTAGAGAGGATTTAAGTGACACCAATAGTTCTTTAAACAACGTCAGAAGTATTCCAAAAACATGTCTTAAATGCGAGAAAATCAAAGAAAATATTGCTGTCACCGAATCACCGCCTGCTTTGCATGTTACAAGAAAATCCAGATGTGTTGATAGTGATAAATACAAGACGGACACATTACGATCAAAATCAAAAGACGATCCGCAAAGATCAAAATTATCTAAAATAGGAACGTGGCGGAGGAAATCTGAACCCGGATTGCAACAAAACAATTTAATTTCAAAAAGGTCACAAGATAGTGATAGTGAAAGATATGAATCACGAGGCTTTGAAAAGATAGAATTTGAATGTCGAAATTGTGGTTCCAATAAAATTACCAAAAAATTAAAGACTAGTGATGGCACTATTGTTTCAGACCCTGAAATAGATAACAAGAAAAGAGGCGTAGGCTCCGCTAAATTAGGAATTGAAGTGAGAATGTATAATACTAAAAATATACCAAAGAAAATTTCAAAGCTAAAGAAAAATAGAGCGAAGGGCTTACGTCTTGGATCTGATACTACTGCAAAATTCTATGCCGATTTCTCTACTGATGTATCCACTGAAAATATTCTTCACATATCAGAGTCTAATGACAGCTTGAATATAGAAAAATCAAAAGAAGTTCCACAGGCATTAGTAATATCAGACTCGTTAAGTAAAGATGAAGATATTGATGATGAAACTTACAGAAAGTTAATAGAAAAAACAGATTCATTTAAAAAGAACGAGTTAGAGAAAGTTAAATATTTAAATCAGCAAAAAGTGATTACTGAAGGGTCAGAAGCTGAAGATAAACCAAATGAGATCGAAGAGGTATGTGATGAAGTGAAGGAATATTGCGAAGAAACAGAACAACCTTTGGAACAAATAATTTCACAACTATTAATGCAAAATAGGGAGTTTCAAAAATTACTAAAAAAACAACAATTACGAAATAGTGCTCAAAGACGTCACCAGAGGTTGCTAAAATCTCATTCAAATCCAGAACATGTTATTCTCGGAAGAAACACCGAATCCACAAAATTGAAACCAAAATACAACAGGCAAACTTCTGAAAATATAGACTTAATTAAAACTGATGAACAAGATGACATATCGGCAGCTGGTAAATTAGAAATAGAAGTAGTGTTGTCAGACGATGACCACATATATGAAACACTGAGGGTAGACAATAAAAAAGAAGAAAACTTAGTTAATTCTAATAGTCAAAATAAACTTAAAAAAATTGACTTACCTACACTATCAAACGCTTATAATGGTCAAAGTATTCCAGATGTCATAATGACTAACCCAGAATCAGATTATGTATATCTTTCATTTGATAAGTTGAATGCTCAAGACACTGACGGCATATATGACGTACCTGTAAAATCTCCAGAAAAAAATGTTAAGCGAGAAAACATCGACGACTATGTTACAATGGAACAACAAAGAGTACCAAGCATTAGTGAAAATCTGTATGACAGCTTAGTTGAAGTTTGTAGACGGAAGAAAGATTTACATACAACTTTAGCAAATGATTATTTGCCCATGAGTCCAGATCAACAAAGTCCTAATACGCCAGAAATATGGCTGAGTAGACAGAAAGAACATTTTAATGTATCACGTGACAGAAAATCTGGATCACTTCCTAGAAGTTTTCAGGTGGTAACAGCGACTCAAGAAGAAAATAATTTGAATACTTTTAAATGCAAACCTAATAGTACTAGTAAAACGTACTTAAATAGAGATGGAAAGGTTATGAGTACTGATAGGCCTTTTACCATCGCCTCAGATAAAAGTGAAATTAGTTATGATGATGTCGAAAACTACATGAGCGAAGGTGATATTCTGAAATTCAGCAAAGGTCCGAAAACAAATGACAGTGAATATCAACGGGATATCAGCCAGTCAACTCTAGAATTAGAAGAAGAAATTGATCGGTGTTATAAGAATAATTTTGAAGAAATTGATTTAAATAAAAACAAAAATGATAATCTTTTAACAGTTTCTCAACCTAATTTAAACACTTCCACTACTTCATCATGTGAAATATTACCAGTTAATCACAATGATGATAAACAAAATGAAACAGAAGTTATACATCCCGAACATAAAATTTATAAGCCGACTAGTAATATTCTTTCACTTCGAAATGTTTTAAATCGTTTCAAAAATAAAACTCCAAATAAAAACAGTGATGATAGTGAAATCAATGCAAATGATCAAAGTAGCCCTGACAGTGTAAGATCTGATTTGAAAAGTCCTGCAAGTGAAAAACGTTCGGGTTTAAATCCTAGAAGTTATTCTAAAAACTTATTACAAAGATTCAAAAGTATTATTGGTGATGAGCATGCGGATGATAATCAGAATAAAACGGAAATCATCAGAACAGATATAACAACAGAAGATGTTCGGAATAGTTCATCAAGAAATGATGTAAAAGTTGTTATAACTTCTACTGATATCAGTTCAACAATTTCAGTTACAAACTCATCAAGGAATGAAATTTTAACTAAGAGTGTGTATGAACACTTAACTAACGAAAAAAACAATTTAGATAAATTTTCTCAGAGTTGTGATGATATTTCACCAAAAGATGAAATCAGTAGACCGAAATACGAAAAAAGTTTCAGTATGGTTACGAATATATCAAGCTCAATAAGCAGTACGTCCTCGCCGTCTAAATCTAATAATAGTTCATATCACAGCTTAAACAAATTACCTATTTACATGCAAGGCAGTAAACACTTAGGTGCTAGAATAGCTCAGTCGGATTACGTTGACCCTATGACACTAGTATGTGAGAACTCGACATTAAAAAACGTTAACGTATTAATAAACAAAAGTGCTGTCAGACCTGATAGTTTATTTTCAAACTCTTCTTTTGTAACTTCGTCGAGTGAAGGCACATATCATGACAGTCAAAAATCAAATACTACACAAACAGTTCCAGAAAGCAATACAATAGCTGAATCGCCGAGCCACACAGATGAAAATTTTTATGAGAAATCCTTTGAAAGGATAGAGCATATGACCGATCAGGACGTATTTAGAGATTCAGCAGTTTATTCTGATCAAGAGGATACAATAGAAACCAAAACTGAGACTTCAAGTAAAGTAAACAAAATCGTTACACGAGTAGAAAGTATTAGAAGAGAAGCATCATTTAAAACTAAAAATAGTACGATAATTTCAAATGTAAGCGATCGGAGTGTGAACAAACAATTAACCGTAATCACAAATAAAACTCAACACACTGAGCTTAGTCATAAAAATGATGCAGATAAGTTAAAGCCTAAAGTAGCACCTCCTATTCCTGCCAAACCTAAAATATCAAATATTCCTGCGTTGACTAGTATCTCATCAAAAACAAATGTTACAAATAAATCTAATTACCATATTAAAAGTCAAGGACGTTCCTCATCTTCTGAATCTATTAATACAAAAACTATCAAGCGCAGTACTAATCCTAATTCTAAACAAACAATCGACAGAATAGAATCCACTACACATAATGAACCAAAAACCTGTAAAGACAAGGCAACTGAAACTAGAGTGAGTAACGTAAATGTTAAAGACGATAATACACTAAAATCACATGGTAACATACAAATGAAAAGATTAAGCTTCGAAAGGGCTAGTTTTGATTCTGCTACTATACGTAAAACAAAAGTCAACGATTCAAAGAGAATTAATGAACCACCGAAAATAGCCAGTAAATCTGTCTTAGAAAGACGAATGGAAATCGAATTAATGTCTAAAAGTCAAACGGTAAAACTTGGACAGAGTATCAAAAAGCCTTTACAAAGGCCTAAGCCCGTTGCGACGAAAGTAGCTAATCTTCAAAGAAGTCTTAGTGACAATCCAACGAAAGATGAAATTTCCTTAAGGACTCCAGACAATGACATTCCTATTAACAAAAACACAGATGATCTTACTAATTCCGAATCGAGAGATTTAGATGCAAAAGGCAGTTGGGTTAAACAAGTTGTCAACAAATTCCAATGAGCTTTCTCTACTCGAGTGATAACTGTATGCATTTAAAAGAAACATTAAAAAATTCCGTCTGTTTTTGTACTCCAGTTTTTGAACGCCCTCAATGTATATTTAAAGAGTTATGATTAGTGTAATATTAAGGATATCTTTAACGTTAACATTGTAAATAGTTTTTCATCAAACCTCTTTGAGCTTTGATATCTTGTGCCATAGACAAGATGAATTATATATTTGGCAAATTTCAGTACGCACAATAGGCATTAAAACCTACATAAATGTAGAAACGATGATATGCTTTATTTTGCTATGTATTTATTCGGAAGTGCCATTAAAATATCTCATTAGTTATATTTACATTTTCAATAATAAAAATAATTGTACTTGCTAGAAGATATTTATCATGAATGTATTTTTGCAAATATGAGAAAACCTTTCAATGACTATAATTTACGATTTATTTTGTCTCGAATAAGAGAAGTCTCATATATTTTCTTACTTTTTTTCTGTAATCGAAACATCAGTACATTTTTTTTATTATGAAGATTTTAAAAATATATTTTTTTGTGCAATCGATTTACTTAAAACTATATTTATTTTTAGAATTAATGTTTAATATCATAGGTGAATTACTAACACCAAAAAATAGAACTTTCTAGTATTATTTTTTTAACTAATACAATGCCGTATGTTGCTGTTTGTTCGTTGAATGTTTAATTAAAATAGAATATTGTTGCAAACTGTGAAGTTCTAGTATAGTTCGGGTAAAGAGAGAAATAACATTGGTTTTTAATACCTAATTAAGTTTGACAAGCGCATACTTACTTAATTTGTGGAGACTGTTAGATGAATAAGATAATAATTATGTTATTAACCCTTTTAAGTTCCGTTGCACATTAACCGGTTTAAACTGGTTATTTAAAAATCTGGGTATTGCATTTTCAGATAATTGTATAATTATTTTGTCAGATTCAAGATGTGAAAGATTGATTCACAGAATTTCAGATGCGTTTCTCTTAAACTATATGTAGTAGTCTAGCCATAAAAAGTCTTCTAGATTTGAAAAAACAAAACGTGCAGTCGGGCATAAAGGTAGCTTGCGATGAAACCTACGCGATTCGGTGGTTCGGTAAACAAGAATTTTAAACACGACTAATTTAGTTTTGATATATATTTTTGACGTTGATATAACATTACTTTTGCTATGTTTGAAACTCTAGATGGATATCGTCGTGAAATCGCAAGTCAACTTAATAGTTACAATTTTGTTTTAATTTCAACTGAATATTTCATTTATTAATAGTAACTACAAAAAATTGGACGTATTCAGACGGCGGTCGCAACATGACATAAGATTATTTAGCGATATTACCATTCCTGGAATTCGTATACGAAGGTCCGTTAAAATGTCTGTAGGTCAAGCAAAAGTGTCTGCTGGTCTCTGTCAAAGTGAGACAGCAGTGCTATAACAAAATGTATATGCTTGATGCATGGGGCCGAATGTTATAATATACTCATCATCATCTTCCTGTCCTAATCTATTTGAGGTCGGCGCAGTGTGTCCTCTTCTTCCACTGTCTCTCTTTCAGCACTTTCATATCATGCCTCACACAGTTCATTCATCTATTCTGTGGTCGTCCTCTTGCTCTCCATCCATAGAAATTCATCTCCATCACCTTTTTATTTCTCATAATATGTGCAGACGCTTTCCTTTCAATTTTGCTGTTACCGGTGTCACTATCAAACTCCCTCTTACATACTCATCCCTTACTTTATCCATTCTCGTCACTCCGCATATCAAACTTAACATTCTCATCTTCGCTACATGTCATTTTCTTTCATTCATCTTTTTCTTTGCAAAATATTCTGGTTTATAAATTACGACAGGACAGGGAAAGGGACGAGTAACCGCGCTGTTTTTAAGTTCGGCGAGTAACCAACTAGACAAATATCCGTTATCTGAACACGGCCTAATCGTAATTCAAACTTTGTTAAAGCTGAATTTATATATGTTTTATTAAACATTAATTTTGTTTGTATCAAATAAATTATAAGATCACAAGCAAAAAGTTTTCAGTTCTAATGTCAAAATCGTCAAACAGACATTTAGTAAAGTGTATTTCTAATAATAATCTTTTAGTCGAAGTAATAATTTTATTAGATTCATCAGATTCATTATATATACATTTATATTTATAGTTTGCAAAACTTTGTACTCAATATGCAGATATAGGTATAATATGAAAAATATTGCAATAAAGCAAACTGTATGAAATATGATCTCCATGTTCTTTTTAAATTTGAATTTTGAACATAAAAATTTTGTTTTTGTCATGCCACGGGCGATGAGCAGTATTATCCAGTTGCAAAAACGTCCATTAAAATAGCCGTTAGTTAAAAGAGTCATTACCGATACATATTTCCAAATTTAGAAGATTCATTAAAGCTTAAAGTAGTCATAATATGCACAAAAATTATTCTCTCCATTTCCATATAGCGTTCATCACTCGTGGTACAGTTTTTCGGAAACTTTCATATATATGAAAATCAAATGTTTAAGTCTGTTTAAATTAAGAAAAAGCTTTCGTAGATGCCTTAAGTAGTAAAAAAATATCTATACTGGTAGAGATAGATTCCATTCGGCACAATTTTAATTATTTATAGTTTTATAACCAGTCAAACGTCTGAAAACAAAATGAAATTTATTTTCACATTTTGTTATTAATTTTAAAACATATATGTACCTAATACAGGAACATATCTCGTCGTATTATAAAACTATGACTAATTTTAAACCACAATCCGACCAAATTAAGTGAATGCGTCTCAATTGACGTTTTGTCCTTTGTTTATAGTTCCCGTTTTATTACGAAACGGGTCACGTTATCTGACGTCAAATTTCAGCTACCTATTATGTACCCTATTTTAAATTTTTAAATTTGACAATTTATTATACTGTACCGTATATGATATCGACTCTATCTGTAACGAGTGTTCAATCGCAGTTGTGAACTACTATTATTAGAACCTGTAGTAACATTTTTACAATAAGTATTACTAATTCTATTTTCACTATCATTATCAAAGTATCTTTGATAACAATAAAATGATTATTTTGATATGTTCTTTCATTTATAACCTGTTGCCTAAGTCTAATTTCAATTTATATCGGAATCACTTTCAAAGGTTTCTGGAAATATGTATCGTTTAAAGTAGCAATCGCTCTCGGAACGACTTGGAATAATTAAGAAACATATAAAACTTAGTAACTTGAAGTTATATTTGCCTTAGACAATTCCAAGTGAAGTTGAAATAACAATATCGTTCATTCAATGACCTACTTAAAAGAAAAGTTACGATCTCAATTTCTATCACATGTCAAGTTGTAGTAGATTTTAAATTAAAACCTAAGTGAATTAAGTACACACTTAATATTCTAAGTTTACTGAATATTAAAAATAGTAAATTATGTTAACCCAATATATACACAATCTTTTCTTTATTTTGTTTCTTTAGTTGATTTGAAAACGAAAGAAAAATAAAATATTTGTTGAAGTTCATTCTACTTTTCACTCGGAAAATGCATCTTATAAATATATCATCATCTTCATCAGCACTTTTACGTCCCCACTGCGAGGGCTCAGTCCTTCCTTATGGATGGTTAAGGAGGATGGACCATAACTCTCCTCGCTGGCACAATGCGCATTGTAGGGGCATTAACGACTGCAAATGCAGCCGGGACCAACGGCTTAACGTGCTTTCTGAAGCACAAAGTAGCTCGAAATTATAATTTTTTGGTCACCCATCCCGTGACCGACCCTTGCGAAAGATGCTTAATAACAACGAACGCGGGCCGCGGCGCTTATCCTCTACGCCACCGAGCTATTATTGCATATATTGCAAGAAATAAATTTCTGTTAGGCTAGGTTAGAATCTATTAAATTGTGACTTTGTTTCTTCATACACAAAAGGGGATCCTGCCTTTTCGCCGAAAATTATTTGGCCGTTTGTCACTTGCCAACTAACGTTTCGCCTTTGTTTCACTTTGACAAATAACGATTAGAAAATTTTGTATGACAACATTTCATTCGGTAGAATTATCGTTAAGCAGATTATTTTAAGACACCTCATGTCCTTTCCACTGAACGACATTACTATCCAAGGATTGTTCGTGAAGCGGTTGAAATCAAAAAACACAACAATTTCAACCGGGAAAGTGGATATAAACTCTCACCAACGTGGAATCCGGTTATAAAAATGTATAAGTGTCGCGATCGCAAACAACCACGAACAGTATTCTCGGATACCGTAAGTGCAGTGTGTCGCCACCTTTACGTATAATAAAATCAAGTGGAGGGTACATCTGAAAATCAGTTAAAAACATTATTACCGGATTACCCTCAACTAAAATCAGAAGACGACACCCGCCAGTTCTCCAGTCTCCTCGTGACCACGGCTGCTGTAACGTAGCCGAAACGTCGAGGTAAATTAATTGTTTTAAAAAATGCACGAACAAGACCCGATTGCATATAATTATAATGTATACAAATCGTGTGAGTTTAAAAATATTATTATGACAAAAACATTTGGGATATTTACCATTTGTCTAATCTTTCACTAGGCTATACAACTTTTAGATAAATAACGGTTCGTTAATGTATCAGTTCTCTTTTCATACATTAATAATTTGTCATTTTTTTCTTCTTAGTATGTAGATTTGTAATAAAATCTTAAATTTTAATAAGTGTCGGAAGTCAAAATAGTTCTGACCATAGAAGGGTATTTTTTATTTTCGAATCAAGGGGCATAAATCGGTTAAATATTAATTTATTATTTAACGGTTATTTTAAAAAATAAAGTATTCGTTATCGCTAAAATATTATTATTTAACTTAAAAACCAAAAAGATACGAAAAATAAAACAGAAAGTTGATTTTTTGTCCAACTTACTTAATTTTATCCTCGCTTGGCTTTTAACAATTTTTAGTAATGTATTCATCATTGTATTTGATATAT